TTTACATAATTTTATATATTAATATTATAATAATAAAAAAAGGCTCTATCTAAGCACCCTTAAGGGTATGGGCTTGGGCCTTTTTAATTTCACAAATGTCCCTCCGTTTGTCGCTTTTGCACCTCTCCTGCCAGCACACCATTCGTTGTGGCAATATATTCCCACGTGGCAAAATCACCATGTAGCATGAACAACTGATTTCACACTCCTAATGTGAACTCGCGCACAGCATAACCGCCCTCAACAAGTAGAATCACAGAATCGAAAGTCCTAGATCATGTTTGTCTTCTATAATTTTATTGGTAGATTTTCATATTTATTGTAGTCTTTTCATCTTTCCCATCGCAGTCAATTTGAAAAATAATTTTCAGTGAGCACCAATCTCTCCGTCATGAACGCCATAACCAGCTCCTCAGCTCCTTCACCCACCAGACGGCTACCTCAGTTTTGATTGCAATTCGTGAGTTTTCAATTCCTCTAAAATTTTTTCATCAACAAAACCAAACTCTATTAAATAGAGTATAAGGATATTTTTACTCATTTAAAAATATAACTCACAAACTAAATACAAATTAGTCAAGCAAAAGGAATGTCACATCAATATATTCTAACATTACAACCATTTTTGTCTATTAAATTGCTTCTTGAGAGACTTATATTTCTTCACCACAATAGTAAATTCAACCTATCTAAATCTCCGGTCATGCAAAGAAAAAACACAGCCAATGATCTTATTTTTAATCCATTTATAAGATTTAGCTTGCATAATATCCAGCATCTTTTGATCCAACACGTTGCTCGGTTCTGAAAAGTGAAAACAATTGCATTCCACCTATACCACAGCAGCCAAACCACCACTAAAAACAAACTTGATCCCACAATTTCTCTAGAATTTTGACTATTGCTTTTGCCTTTCCTCTCTATCTATTCCTTTCTTTATGCCTTTAAGCAAGAATCGACTCCAAAAGCACAATGAGTAGGGTGACTAGTTAATCTGTAGGTGGGATTTAAGCACAAAGTTACGGTCAATGTTGTGTACCTGCTGCTACACAACATCTCGCCCGGGTTGGCCGGAAACTGAACCGGCACGAAGCTGACCATGTACCAAACCGGCCGATATGGCAATCGAGTGGGCTGCATGAAATTTACTTAGTAAGTGGGCTCCTCATTCCGTACATCAGGCAAGAGCCAAGACATAAAGCCATGCAACTGAGATTTTGAAAGCACTACAGTTTTCAGTGTCAGGGGTTGGGTTGGGCTGAGGCTATTGCAACTATAAATTTTTTAAGCCATCAATTTAATCAATTTAATTGTAATTTTATTAGTTTGTAACTTTTTTTAAATAATTAATTATTATTTTAAAATATTTATTTATAGATTA